ACCTCAAAAAATTGAGTAATAACTCAGAATTGTTCCTCTCCACGGAAATCTTTAGTAAAAGGCGAAAGATTTATGCGGTCTGAAGAGAAACCAGAGCATGCCCTCCGCAGCGCTACACACCGTCCTCAGGTAACTGTAACTCCTGGACAGGCAATGGTCACTATTTCCACGAAAGAGCTAATGGTTTCTGCCGTAAGTTCAGACAACTCTGTGAAAGCAATCGCATGTTTAGCAAGGGAAAAAGTTGAAAGAAAGCTAATTTAGACGTTTTAAAGTAGAAAATAGCCTGTGTGCAGTGCATTGTGGGTGTGTAAATGAGCTGAGTCACCAACGCCCCCGGTTTCCGGAAATACCTTAAATGGTCCTTCCGTTCTCCCGCCGGGCCCAGGCCCACCGCCAGGGGGCAGAGCGGGAACCAGATTGGCAGGATACAAAAGCCTGCCCCAAACAGAAAGACTTTTATATATGAGTAATTCCAAGCTAATACTTAACTTGAATTTAAATATATATACATAATTTTTTTGAATTTTTAAAAAGAGGCTTGAAAATAATTGTCTTCAGCCGGGACCGGTTTGGCTCAGTGGATAGAGCGTCGGCCTGCGGACTGAAAGGTCCCAGGTTCGATTCCGGGCAAGGGCATGTACCTTGGTTGTGGGCACATCCCCAGTAGGGGGAGTGCAAGAGGCAGCTGATCAATGATTCTCTCTCATCGGTGTTTCTAACTTTCTATCCTTCTCTCTTCCTCTCTGTGAAAAATCAATAAAAAATATTATTTTTAAAAAAAAGAAAATAATTGTCTTCATACATTCATTCAACAAAAATGTATTGAGTGCTGTGTCAAACCCTGTGCTAGGCCCTAGGATAGGGGTGTCAAACTCAATCAGAGAAGGGGCCAAAATCTAAAATCCAGCCTAAATCGCGGGCCGAATGGTTTACTGAACAGTCATAAACTGTCATTGTGATGGAAACGCAGCGGAGTGCAGTGATGACAGCGCGGTGCGGGCCACATTGCAAGGCCTGGCGGGACGGATTTGGCCCGAGGGCCTTGTGTTTGACACATCTGCCCTAGGAGGTAGGTGTGTGTGATGAGCACTGATAACAGAATGTTCAGTGACACCTGGGCAGAGCGTTAAAGGATCTAGTCTAAGCAGAGAGACACCATAAGCAGTGTGAGCAGGAGATTTGAAAAAGCAAGGGGTTAAGTGGCAGGGACCACATTTTAATGGGCCTTCAGTGCTGAGAGCTTGGATTTACCTTGAGAGCAACAGAGAACCTTTGAAAAGCTTCAAAGAAGAGGAATATGAAGCATCATCGATGCCGAAACCGTTTTGGCTCAGTGGATAGACTCTATGTACCTTGGTTGCGGGCACATCCCTGGTAGGGGTTGTGTAAGAGGCAAGTGGTCGATGTTTCTCTCTCATCGACATTTCTAGCTCTCTCTCTCCCTTCCTCTCTGTAAAAAAGATTAATAAAATATATTAAAAACAACAACAACAACAACATAAAAACAAAGCTTATGTGGCCGGGCCAGTAGTTGAATCTCAACCCATATCCAAGGTTGTAGGTTCAATCGCCACTTAGGGCACACACAAGAATCAACCAATGGGTGCGTGAATGTGAATAAGAACAATGTATCCATGTTTCTCTCCCTCTCCCACTTCCTTTCTCACTAAAATCAATCATTCATTTTTTATTTTAATTACAGACAGGGGACCCAGGAAGGATCAGAGAAGATGCCTGGTGATCTATGTATAGTAGTTACGGCCCTGGGGGCAAATCCTGTTGGCCTGCTCTAGGAAGATCATAAATGCTGGGTACCCCCGGGAATGAGAGGGTGCAGGAGTTGTGGGGAAAATTAACCAACGTTCAGTCAACCTTAAGATTAGTTTCCTCTTGTGGAGGTTCTTTTAAAACTGTTATCTTGCTCTAGCTGGTTTGGCTCAGTGGATAGAGCATCGGCCTGGGGCCTGAAGGGTCCCAGGTTCAAGTCTGCTCAAAGGCATGCACCTTGGTTGCGGGCACATCCCCAGGGGGGGGGGGGGCGGTGCAGGAGGCGGCTAATCAATGTTTCTCTCTCATCGATGTTTCTAACTTTCTATCCCTCTCCCTTTCTGTCTGTAAAAATCAATAAGTTATATATATTTTTTTAATAAGTTTTTATTGTTCATATTATTACAAATGTTCCTCCCCCCCCCCCATTGCTCTCCTCCACCAGGTTCCCACCCCACCCTCTGCCCTTTCCCCTCTCCCCATTGTCCTCATCCATAGGTGCACAGTTTATGTTCAGTCTCTTCCCACTCCCCCCTCTCCCCTTTTCCCCAAGAATCATCAGTTCACTCCCCTTCCATACCTCTGATTCTATTATATTCAACAGTTAATATTGTTCATCAGATTTTTTTAATTTCCTTGGTTTTTAGATTCACTTGTTGATAGTTACGTATTTGTTGTTCATAATTTTTATCTTTGTTTGCTTTCTCTTCTGAAAGAACTCCCTTCAGCAATTCATATAATTCTGGTTTGGCAGTGATGAACTCCTTTAGCTTTTTTTTATTAGTGAAGCTCTTTATCTGGCCTTCGATTCTGAGTGATAGCTTTGCTGGGTAGATTATTTTTGGCTGTAGGTTCTTGCTATTCATCACTTTGAATATTTCTTGCCATTCCCTTCTGGCCTGCATGGTTTCTGTTGAGAAGTCAGCTGACAATCGTATAGGTGCTCCTTTATAGGTTACTACCTTCTTTGCTCTTGCTTCTTTAATATTCTCTCTTTGTCTTTTGCTCTTGGAATTTTAATAATGATGTGTCTCGGTGTGGTCCTCTTTGGATTCCTTTTGTTTGGAGTTCTGTACGCTTCCTGGACTTGTAAGTCTAATTCTTTTACCAGGTGGGGGAAGTTTTCTGTCACTATTTCTTTCAGTATGTTTTCGATATCTTGCTCTCTCTCATCTTCTGGGACCCCCATAATTCTGATGTTGGTTCGCTTGAAGTTGTCCCAGAGGTTTCTTACATTATCTTCAATTTTCTGGATTCTCTTGCCTTCTAGCTTCTGTGGAGGAGTGTCTTCTGGCTCTTTATGTTCCAAATCTTTGACTTGATTCTTGCGATCATCCCTCCTGTTTTTAGGACTCTGTAAAATATTTTTTATTTCAGACAATGTATTCTTTATTTCTTGTTGATCCCTTATCATTTCTTGTTGACTCCTTATTAATTCTAGTTGATCTCTTTTCATATCCTCATAGGCCTTATCCATCTTTTCTAGGAAATTCTTGAAAAACCTTATAAGCGTAGATTTGAACTCTATATCCAGACACTTTTTGTCCTCCATTTCTTTCATTTGTGATCTATTTTGTTGTCTCATTTCGCAGTTACAGATGGGGCCAATAAGTTATATTTTAAAAAATAAAATCATTATCTTCCCAATTGGTCTGATATAAACCTTCCTATTTCTGTAAGTACTTGCAAGTAAAGGCTTTCTGTTTCTGTACACCTGCAGGAGGATTAATGAGGGCTGCGGGCACCATTTTCCATGTGTAAGGAGAGCACAGCTCTGGGAACTTGGAGCGGCAGCAGCCACAGGAGGAGCGGGGAGCGGGGCGTGTGTGGGCAGAGAGAAGGCCGGGAGTAGCCAGGAGTGAGAGCCCCAGGCCCCCTGGGCTTGGTGTCACTGTGGTGGGCCTGCCGTCCTGGGGAGGGAGCCGAGGGAAAGGTCTGGAGGAATGCAGAGCCAGGAAGGTTGGAGCTGGACCGGCAGGCAGCAGGCAGCCAGAGGAAGGCAGCCATGGTGGAGGGCCCTCTTGAGACTCCTGCGGTGGCAGGAGGTGCCAGGCCCTGTTGGGCTCCGGTGTGGACTGACGGACGGGGGCTGATGGACGGGGGCTGATGGATACTGATCTGGCCCGAATGCTGAACCGCTTGGGCTGGAACTGGACACTGGCCCTGCTTCTGACTCTGCTAACCGCCCAGCTGCCCCTCTTTCAGGACTGGCTTGTGGGAAATAGGACATCACAACCTAAGAAACGTAACTCCAGCCCAAACTGGTTTGGCTCAGTGGATAGAGCATCGGCCTGCGGACAAAAGGATCCCAGGTTCTATTCCGGTCAAGGGCACGTACCTTGGTTACTGGCACATCCCCAGTGGGGGGTGGGGGGGGGTGGAGGAGGCAGCTGGTCGATGTCTTTCTCTCATCAATGTTTCTAACTTTCTATCCCTCTCAATTCCCCTCTGTAAAAAAATCAATAAAATATATTTTTTAAAAAAAGAAAGAAGCATAACTCCAGCCAGTAAAATCTTTTGCCACCTCCTCCTCCCATGGGGACTTCTAAAAATGCTTATTTCAGCGGTGTCCCTTTGGCATCAGAATCTTCCACTTTTTAAAACAAAAATAGGAATGGAATTAGTGACAAACTGTTACTCCCCGTGAACCAACTGAAACACAGTTTATTCATTTTATTAGGAGATGCATCTTCAATGAATTTTTACCTTTTTTTATGTTAAAGCACCAACAACCTTTAAGAACTCAGAAAGTGTGATCAGATAGTGCAAACATGATACACAATCCAGCGCTGGGTCCCAGCTACAGTTCCCCTCCCCGCCATGGCCAGGGTGAACGTCAAACTCAGAACAGCCACGGCGTGCACGCCTCACAGATCACAGGACAGCTCCATTCTAAGACAGGAAAAGCCCGCCCTTTCCGGTAGCTCCCAGGGGCGGGGCGGGGCCGCCTCACCGGAACTGACTGATGCCTCCAGGGGCTTATACGGCACAGACTGTGATTGGCTGTCCTTCAGTATTATGTTAATGAAGTGGCCGTCTTTTAAAAAACTTTGGACATTTAATTTCCACCTAAGTGTTAAAAACAATTGTTAAGTGATAGTATTTGGAGGCTTATACATACTAGAACGCCTTTCTCTTCGCCAGTGGAATTATAATTGGGGAAAGCGTCTCACCGTGACCGAGAAGGGGACGGCTGCGGCAGGCCCGGCGGAGGCGGCGGGGGCCGGGTTAAGACTATACTTTCAGGGATCATTTCTATAGTTCGTTACTAGAGAAGTTCCTCTGAACGTGTAGAGCACCCGAAACCACGAGGAGGAGACGCAGCACCCTCTCCTGAGCGTGAAGCCGGCTTCCGGTGCTGCTCCTGCAGCTGCCGCCTGCCATTGATGATCGTTCTTCTCTCCCCCGGGGGAGAAGAGGGAGAGGATGCATTCTGAGTGGCTTCGGTTTTCTTACTCGGTTAAAGGGAAGAATGAGAATTACCTAGTTATTTTTCACCGCAGCTTCTACTGGGGGTCAAATTCTGAATTGGGGTCATACACTGAAACCGATTTGGTTGGATTCCAGTTGAGGGCATGTACCTTGGTCGCGGGCACATCCCCAGTAGGTGGTGTGCAGGGAGGCAGCTGATGGATGATTTTCTCTCATTGATGTTTCTGACTCTTTCCTTTCTCTTCCTCTCTGTAAAAAAAAGTGTTAAAAAACAAAAGCGGGTCCTAAGATGGTGGGGGAATCAATTTGGCCACCTCTGTGTAGGGGAGAAGGCTATAAGATAAGTAGTTTTTCCAAAATAAAACATTTAAACTCCACCCTCATATTTTTTTGTAAAGTGGTTTATTCTCCCCCATACAAATGCCTCAGGGCTACAATAATTTTTGTTGCTTTAGCTAGGTGCAATCTTGTTTTTTAGGTTTTTATGGAATTTATTGTAACTAACATTGGTAAGTTAATTATATAACAAATTTCATGTGTACTTTATAACACAGCATCATGTATACTCTATAATTATTCAATCCATAAGGTGCATTTTAACACTCAGAGACTTAAGAACATTTTATTTAAAACATGTATAAAGAGTTCTGCCGGAGTGGCTCAGCTGGTTGATTCCAAAAGGTTGTGGGCAGAGTATATGGGGAAAAGTTGTGGGACACAGTCTGGGTGAGCATGGGAGGCAACCAACTGATATTTGTCAGATCAATGTTTCTCTCCCCCTCCCTCCTTCCTTTCCCTTTCTCTCTCTCTCTCCCTCTCTCTCTCTCTCTCTCTCTCTCTCTCTCTCTCTCTCTCTCTCTCTCTCTCTCTTTTAGAATTTATTTGTTATTTAAAAAAATATTTTTTTGATTTTTTACAGAGAGGAAGAGAGAGGGATAGTTAGAAACATCAATGAGAGAGAATCATCGACCAGCTGCCTCCTACACACTCCTTACTAGGGATGTGCCCGCAACCAATGTACATGCGCTTGACTGGAATCGAACCTGGGACCTTTCAGTCCGCAGACTGACGCTCTTCCACTGAGCCAAACCGGTTTCGGCTCCCTTCCTCTCTTTAGTTAGGGTTGCCTGAGATGGAACACAGGAGGCCAAAAGGGGCAAATAATTATAAATTTATTATTACATCTGCTAGCAGAAGGGCTGAGGCCAAAATGACATCAGCAGAGTAGAGTAATGGGAGTGGGATATTTCTGTCTCTTGTAAAGGTTACAAGATCCAGGTGGGGCCAGGTGTAGGCGGTCCGCTGGAAACTGGGTGAGGAGGTTTACCGGAAGCCGCTAATCCTGAGGTGTGAAATGAGAAAATCCCCAGGAGGGGCAAGAGCCTCAGACAGAGCGTAATGGAGCTTCCAGGGAGGGGAGCCTCCAGCAGAGCATAATGAGGGCCTGAATGAGCCTAACACTCTGAAATAAACTTATTTAATAATTAGAGACTAGAGAGAAAGGCCTGGCAGGATGGCTCAGCGGGCTGGAGCATGATGGGCTCAGACAAGAATCAAACTCTAATCTAGTTTCCTCTTTCAGGACTTGATTGACTGTTCTTGTCTTTTTTTAAGACGAGAGAGGGATAGAGAGTTAGAAACATCGATCAGCTCCCCACCCCCCCACCGGGGATGTGCCCGCAACCAAAATACATGCCCTTGACCGGAAAGGAACCTGGGACCTTTCAGTCCACAGGCCGACGCTCTATCCACTGAGCCAACCAGTTAGGGCATGTCAGTGTTTTGTTGGTTTTTTTTTTATCATGCAGAAGTTTTAATATATTTAATCCATTAATTTTTACTTTATAGTTTTTTAGATCTTAAGAAATCTTTCTCTACACTAATGTTATAAAAATTATACTCCTGTATTTTCTTCTAAAAGTTTTAAAGGTTTTTTTAACAATTGAATTCCTAATTCCTAAAATATCTAAATTTTTTTTCTGTGTGGTGTGAATGACCTTCCTTATTATTTTTAATTCTAACCCAAGGATATTTTCCCCACTGATTTCTAGAAAGAGTAGAAGGGAGGGAGAGAGAGAGAGAAACATCTATGTGAGAAAGACACATAGATTGGTTGCCTCCTACACACACTCTGATTAGGGCCTGCAACCGAAGTACGTGTCCTTGGCCTGAATCAAAACTGGGACCCTTCAGTCTGCAGGCCAACGCTCTACCACATGTGTCAAACACAAGGCCCGAGGGCCAAATCCGTCCCGCCAAGCCTTGCAATGTGGCCCGCACCGCGCTGTCATCACTGCACTCCGCTGCGTTTCCATCACATTGACAGTTTATGACTGTTCAGTAAACCATTCGGCCCGAGATTTAGGCTGGATTTTAGATTTTGGCCCCTTCTCTGATTGAGTTCGACACCCCTACTGAGTCTATCCAATGAAGCAAACTGGCTAGGACCAGACCTAACATTTTTTAAGAGAGATTATTCACATACTATACCCTATATGATAAAACCCAATATGCAAATCAATTGAACAGCAAAATGGCTGACAGAACAGCAGGTCAGTATGACATGTGCTGACCACCAAGGGGCAGATGCTAAACGCAGAAGCTGCCCCCTAGTGGTCAGTGCGCTCCCACAGGAGGAGCACCCCTCAGCCAGAAGCTGGCTCACAGATAGTAAGCAAAGTGGTGGTGGTGGTGGTGAGAGCCTCTCCCGCCTCAGCTACAGGTGGGCAGTAAAGAGGGAGGAGTCCCGGACTGCAAGAGCCCCAGTCTGCTAAAGGGATGTCTGACTGCTGGCTATCCCCGAGGAGTCCCCGACTGCGAGAGGGCGCAGGCCAGGCAGAGGGACCACTGCCCCTCTACAGTGCATGAATTTTGTGCACTCAGCCTAGTCTAGAGTATATATATATAATTAATTACCATATATTAATCACCATAATTAATATATATAATTTATTTCAGAGAGGAAGGAAGAGGGAGAGAGAAATAAAAATATCAATGATGAGAAAGAGCCCTAGCCGGCTTGGCTCAGTGGGTAGAGCATAAGCCTGCAGACTGAAGGTTCCCAGGTTTGATTCCAGCCAGAGGCACGTGCCTGGGTTTCGGGCTTAATCCCCAATAGGGGGCACGCAGGAGGCAGTCAACCAATGATTCTCTCTCATCATTGATATTTCTATCTCTCTCTCCTCCCTTCCTCTCTGAAATCACTAAAGAAATATATAATAAAAAATGATGAAAATCGCTGAGGCTGGTTTGGCTCAATGGATAGAGCATCAGCTTGGGGACTGAAAGGTCCCGGGTTCAATTCTGGTCAAGGGCACGTACCTTGGTTGCGGGCACATCCCCAGTAGGGGGTGTGCAAAAGGCAGCTGATTGATGTTTCTCTCTCATCGATGTTTCTAACTATCTCTCTCCCTTCCTCTCTGTACAAAATCAATAAAATATATATTAAAAAAATGATGAAAATCATTAATCAGCTGCCTCCTGCATGACCCCTACTGGGGACGGAGTGGGCATGTGCCCTTGACCAAAATTAAATCAGAAACCCTTCAATCCGAAGGCCGACCCTCTATCCACTGAGCCAAATCAGCCAGGGCCCAGGCCTAATTTTATACATACATATATATATATATATATATATATATATATATATATATATATCAGAGAGGAAGGGAGAGAAATAGAGAGCTAGAAACATCGATGAGAGAGAAACATCAATCAGTTGCCTTCTGAACCCCCTCGCACACACACACTGAGGTTGTGCCAGCAACCAAGGTACATGCCCTTGACCGGAATCAAACCTGGGACGCTCTATCCATTGAGCCAAACTGGTCAGGGCGATAACAATATATATTTTTTAATTAATGAACAGTCCTGGCCAGGTTGGAATATTGTCCCAATGCCCCAGGGTTGTGGGTTTGATTCCCAGTAGTTTTTTCCTAAATTATTGAGCAAGATATCCGTAATATTTTCAGTTAGGAATGCTTTCATCTTCAGGTTAAAGAAAACATGAATGAAGGCAGTTTATACAAATAGGTGGGTTTTGTTGTGCTTTGCTTTGTTCTGAGTTACAGTAGGGAGTCTGGATGTAGGTGGCTGCTGGCATTGGTTCAGGTGTTTAGCCAGAACCTTCTATGGCTCTTCCTCCCTTCCTACTTGGCTCCTGAGTGTGTTGGATATTTTGATCTGATGACTATCCGCTTACCTCATGATCACAAGGCAGCTGTCACAACTCCAGACAGAACATCCATGTCCAAGGCAAGAAATAAAGGAGTGAGATATTGTAAGTAAAGCGCCCTCTGCTGTTAGAAAACAACATATTACCTGTCCAAAAGTCCCCAGCACTCCCACTTACATCTCATTGGCCAGAACTGTCATATGGCCGACTCTAATGGCTTGGGAATCTGGGAAAGCAAGTGGAGATGAGTAAGGAAGAAGGGGGCTGGGAATGGCTCTTGGATTATCCACCAACTGTGTGTGTCACCAACAGCTGGCTCATTTGTTTTCAACCTTCCTTGTTTTATCACTTCCTGATACTTTTTGGATGAATCCTCACTCTGGTCTTGTTGTTCCTTCTTTCATTTTGGCTATAATCATTCTACTATTCAACCCATGGATGGATTGAGGCACTGGGGCAGGTAATGATCCACCAGGATCCTAGAAGGGAAGGGGCATTGGTGAGCACAACTGAAAAGTCTCTCACATATCCAACCCTCTTCTCCTCTTCTTCGTCATTGTTGTTCTTCAATAGAAAATTTCAAGCAAACAGAAGTTGAGGGCAAGGATGCCCTTTCAGCTCATGACCATCATTTTCTTGTCTCCCTGCCAATACCTCTTGCCCACTGGATTACTGGATTATTTTATTTATTTATTTATTTATTTATTTATTAATATATTTTATTGATTTTGTACAGAGAGGAAGGGAGAGAGATAGAGAGCTAGAAACATCGATGAGAGTCATCAATCAGCTGCCTCTTGCACACCCCCTACTGGGGATGTGCCTGCAACCAAGGTACATGCCCTTGACCAGAATCGAACCCGGGTCCCTTCAGTTCCCAAGCCGACACTCTATCCATTGAGCCAAACCGGTTTCGGCAATTTTTTATTTTATTTTTTAAATATATTTTATTGATTTTTTTTTTTAACAGAGAGGAAGGGAGAGAAATAATGAGCCAGAAACATTGATCAGCTGCCTCCCGTACACCTCCCACTGGGGATGTGCCCGCAACCCAGGCACACGCCATGGACCGGAATTGAACCCTTCAGTCTACAGGCTGACGCTCTATCCACTGAGCCAAACTGGTCAGGACAATTATTAGGTTATCTTAAAACAAATCTCATTTTTAGTCACTTTCCTCTCTCTAAAGTCTGCTTTGCCTGAAGTTAACACAGTTACTCACACTTTCTTTTGATTAATATCAGCATGGTATATCTATTTCCATTTATTTATTTATTTATTTTTAAATAAAAATTGTTTTTAATGTTCATTCATTATTTTTAATCTGTATGTGTCTATATATAAAGTGGGTTTCTTACAGACAACATACACTTGGGTCTATTTTTTCTCCCATTCTCCCCCCTTCCCCTTTGGCAATCATCAGCTTGTTCTCTGTATTTATGGGGTCTGTTTCAATTTTGTTTTGTTGGGTTTTTTTAAAAATATATTTTCATTGATTTCAGAGAGGAAGAGAGAGATTGAAACATCAACAAGAGAGAATCATTGACCAGCTGCCTCCTGCACACTCCCTGCTGGGGATTGAGCTTGCAACCTAGGCATATGCCCTTGATGGAATCAAACTTGAGATCTTTCGGTCCATAGGCCGATGCTCTATCCACTGAGCCAAACCAGCAAGGGCTTTCTTAAGTTTTATTGATATTTATTTAATTTTTTGTTGTTGTTGTTGTTAACCCTCACCTGAGGATATTTTCCATTGACTTTTAGAGAGAGTGGAAGAGAGCGGGAGAGGCAGAGAGAGAAACACCGATGTGAGAGAGATACGTGGACTGGTTGCCTCCCTCACATACCAGGGCCGGGGACTGAGCCTGCAGCTCAGTTACACGCCCTTGACCAGAATCGAGCCCTTCAGTCTGCAGACCCATGCTCTATCCACTGAGCCAAACCAGCTAGGGCAAGTTTTATTGATGTTTAGAGAGAGAGAAAAAAAAAAGCACGTCGATGGGTTGCATCCAGTATGTGCTCTGACCAGGATCAAAGTCGAAACCTCTTTGAAGTATGGAATGATGGACGCTCCAACCAACTGAGCCACTGGGCCAGGGTGGTCTGTTTCTATTTTATTTTATGCATTTGTTTTGTTTTTGTTTTTTAGATTCTACCTATAAGTGAAATCATATTGTATTTGTCTTCTTCTCTCTGACATCTTTTTTAAAAATATATATTTTATTGATTTTTTACAGAGAGGAAGGGAGAGAGATAGAGAGCCAGAAATGTCGATGAGAGAGAAACATCAACCAACTGCCTCCTGCACACCCCCCACCGGGGATGCCCTTGACCGGAATCGAACCCGGGACCTTTCAGTCCGCAGGCTGACGCTCTATCCACTGAGCCAAACCGGTTTCAGCGACATCTTTTCTTTACATTTTATTTGAGTATAGGTTATTATATTGTACAATGTAGGGGGAGAAATATCTTTTTTCCTTCTACCCTTCTAGGTTCTTGCTGGGGCTGTAACGAAAGACAGATTAACAAGAGAAAAACACAAACAAGAGAAAAACAGAAGTTCATTAACATTTATATCATATATATATTAATTACTCAGAGGTGAGTAATTCAAAAAGTGGCTAAAACTTGGGTTTTACAATATATACATCACCAAGGATTTGATTCCAGTCCAAAGCACATGCTCGTGTTTCAGGCACAATCCCCAGTAGGGGGCATGCAAGGGGCTGCCAATCAATGATTCTCATCATTGATGGTTCTATCTCTCTCTACTTCTCCCTTTCTCTCTGAATTCAATTAAAAAATATTTTTTTCTCACCCTTGTTGAAAAATCTGGTTGCCTTCCTCCCCCCCACCCCCAAAAAAAAATTGGGGGAGAGAGTGAAGATCAATAAAAATACTTAAAATATATATATATAAAGGGAGACTAACAGTGTGAAGTAGTTTCTTCTCCTGTCATCTATAATCCTGTCCCAGAAAAGGATGTTTATATCCTGTCTTTAGGCAGAAAGGAAATGAATAGAGTTTTGCCTATATTTGCTGCTTAGTTGTCTTCAATGCAAAATACACTTGTAATTCTTATATCAAAGAGCCATATTTGGCCAAAACTGGTTTAGCTCAGTGGATAGAGCGTCGGCCTGCGGAATGAAAGGTTCCGGGTTCGATTCCGGTCAAGGGCATGTACCTTTGTTGCGGGCACATCCCCAGTAGGGGGTGTGCAGGAGACAGCTGATCGATGTTTCTCTCTCATCGATGTTTCCGACTCTCTCCCTTCCTCTCTGTAAAAAAATCAATAAAATATATTAATAATAAAAAAAGAGGCATATTTGGGGTGATGTGTTCTGATTTCCTTCATTATTTTTTTCTGAACTGAAAGTTGCAAACATCATGACTTTTGTGCCAAAAATTCATCTCCATTTCAGCATGCATCTCCAAAGAGTAAGAACTTTCCCTCACAAACTCACAGCATCCAATTTTTTACACCACCATCAAGACTCATGCTTCGCATTTGGTTGTTGTTTGTATTCTCTTTTAATCTAGAACAGTCTTTGTACTTTTGTGTTTTTCTTTTCTTAGGGCAGCGCGCACGCAGTCCCCCACTACCACCAATGACGCGATGGAGTTCACCCCCTTTGGGGACCTCGCAGGGGTCAGCACACCCAGAGTGCAATGGGAGAGCCTCGCTCTGGGAAAGCCACCTTTGTGATCACGCTATCTCCCCTGCCAGGTAGGGATTTTGTGGAGACCAGGGCAGATGTTTTGTAAAACATCCTGCATCCTAAATTTGCCTGATTATCCCTCATGGTGCTGTTTAGTTAGTTCCTCCATCCCATTTCTATTGGCAACAGGAAGTGAAATCTAAGGCTGGACTGGATTTAGGGTTTGTGTTTTTGGCATTATCATCTCCTGAGTGACCCCTGCACTTGGAGACAGAGGATGGCAGACTGCCCCACTCCAATGATGCTATGCTTGATCACTGGGCTACGTGGTCACGGCCACATTTTTTCACAGCTATGCTTTCCCTTGGCAAATTGGCAATGGAAATAGAATGTGGAGCAATACTCTTGTCACCATGCAGCATCCTATACTCAGTAACCTTTTGCCTAGCACCCACACTGAATCATTCCCCCCCCCCCCATTGATTGGGAATTACAGTATAGTTGTGTGTTTTTTTGTTGTTTTTTTAAATTTTATTGATTTTTTTACAGAGAGGAAGGGAGAGGAGAGAGATAGAAAGCTAGAAACATCGATGAAAGAGAGACATCAACCAGCTGCCTCCTGCACACCCCACACCAGGGATGTGCCCGCAACCAATGTACATGCCCTTGACCAGAATCGAACCTGGGACCTTCCAGTCTGCAGACCGACGCTCTATCACTGAGCCAAACCGGTTTTGGCTGCAGTATAGTTTTGTTTTTTATTTTCTTTCTTTCTTTCTTTCTTTTTTTTTTTTTTTTTTTAATATATAATAGTAATCTAGGGAGACAGTATAAGGCAAACTTTTCTTGTAAAAGATAAGTAAATACTTCAGGCTTCGTGGGCTATAGGCTCTGTGTCAGCAGCTTTGCTGTTGTGGTGTGAAAGCAGCCATAGACAAAGGTAAACAAATGGATATGGCTGCCTGCCAATAAAACTTTATGAATACTATGCTTTAGAATTTTTTTCAAGCACAAAAACCACTAAGCTCATGGGCCCCATTAGTACACAGTAGTGTGCCAACCTCTGGTATAAAGAAATAGAAGAGGAGGATCCAAGATGGCTGCTCGGGTAGACACCTAACCGCAGCAGCACACAACAATTTCAATGGAATACAACTAAAATGTAGAGTGGACATCGCCCAGAGCTACAGGTAGTCGACTGACTGAAAATTCTACAACAAGAAGGAAAGAGAAAACCAGAAGGAAAATCAGAGGAGCTGAAAAAAAGCCTAAGGTACAGAGACATGCTGCGCGCGCGGAGTGGTCGCAGCCGGAGAGGAGGAGAGGGCTGGGTGCTGCCTGGCGTTCCCTAGCAGGAAGGAAATAAAACCCCCAGCCTGGGCTGAACCCCCGAACCGGCAGTGCTGACCCCCAGTTATGAGCCAGACCCTGGGGACCCAGGCTCCGGCTGGGGAGACGGGGCTGTGAGGCGGAATCCCAAGTGAACAGCGAAAAGCAGGGCCCCCGGAGTCGCGCGCACTTTGCGCGCAGAGGACTGAATGTTGACTCTGATGCTGGATTACCCTAGCGGGAAGAAACAAAGCCTCCGGCGGCGCTGAGCCTCAGTCCGGACTGCTCTGAACCCCAGTCCTGGACCAGACCCTGGGGACCCAGGCTCGGGCAGGGGGAGACAGGGCTGTGAGGCGGAATCCCAGGGGAGTGGCGAAAAGCCGAGCCCCCAGAGTCGCGCGCACTGTGCGCAGAGTACAGTCTGTTGACTCTGATCCTAAACTCCTCTAGCGGGAAGGAGAGAAAGGGCTCCAGACTGGAGGAATGCGACAGGGAGCAGGAGCCCCTGCCGGACACCAGCCAACCGGGCGCCGGCAGGGAGCCGGGCGACGGGGCCCCCAGGCGGGGGGGTGCCCCCGAGCCATCGACCTCTGAGCGCGGGCAACGGAGCCAAGGCCGGGGGCTGCTTCCTGGGCGGCCGACCCTGGCAACAGGCTGGAGCAGCGCATGAGCCCGCGAAGAACAAAGGGGTGCCTCAGGCCAACCTGCTGAGCTCCCAGGACAAGGAGGAAGAAACCAAAGTTCTCAATGTGAAGACATCAAGTGAGAGCAAAAGATAGTAAAATTACTTAAGAAAGAATACAAAGAAGATCTTGAAAATTCAGACTAAGTCAGAACTCAACTCACAAAAAAAAAAAAAAAAAGAACTCAACTCACCAGCCAACATTGCAACATAAATGCATTAAAAAAAAAAAGGACAGAATGTTGGAACAGCGGCGGCCAGGCCTAGAGAGCCCAGGCACAAAGCAATGGCAACCGGGCCCGGAGCAGCAACGGCCAGGCCCCAGAGCAGCAGCAGCCAGAACCAGAGCAACAGCCAGCACTGGAGCAGCCAGACCTGGGGCAGTGGCAGCCAGGCCTGAGGCGGAGGCAGCCAAGCCCAGAGAGGCCAGTCCAGGAACACCCAGACCCGGAGTGGCTGGGCCCGAAGAAGCCGGGCCCAGAACAGCCGGGTTGGGAGCAGCCAGGCCCAGAACAGCAGTAGCCAAGCCCGGAGCACCCAGGCTGGGAGCGGCCAGACTCGGCGCGGCCGGGCCCGGGGCAGCCGGGCCCAGAGCAGCTGGGTCTGGTGCGGCCAGGCCCGGAGCAGCGGCTGCCAGGCTGGGAGTGGCCAGGCCTGGAGCAGCCGGGTCGGGTGCGGCCAGGCCTGGAGCAGCCGGGTCGGGTGCGGCCAGGCCCGGAGCAGCAGCAGCCAGGTCCAGAGCAACTAGGTCGGCAGCGGCGGTGACCAGACCCGGAGCAGCTGGTTGTGGAACGAACCAGAGCAACAGAGGCCAGGCCCGGAGCAGCCAGGCCCGGAACAGCTCGCTCCTCGCCTGCCCCTGCCCCACGGCTGCCTCTCAGACATGGCTGGAAACTTTTGTGAGAACTTGAGGGTCTGCTGAATCAAGTGATGAAGGCTTAGATCTGGATGTGTTGAGTTAGTATAGGGCTTGGGTGTTGATCTGTGAGTGCCTTGGGTGGGGCCTGGAGGAGGTTGGTTGACCTATTTGGAAATGTCTTTTGTGTGAAATGTATCAATGGGCATGTGGTGGTATTATTGATATGATAAAATGCTAAGTAACTGATATACTATCTGAAAAGGGATTTACTATCGGGGAAAGGGAGGGAGGAAGAGACTGAACATAAACTGCACCTATGGATGAGGACAATGGGGGATGGGGAGGGGGCGGAGGGTGGGGTGGGAACCTGGTGGAGGGGGGAAGAAATGAGGAACCTTTGTAACAATATGAACAATAAAGATTGATTAAAAAAAAAAAAAAAGAAATAGAAGAAGAGGGCCTAGGTTCAAGGCTTGAGGAATGACAGCATTTAAGGCCATGTAGAGAAAAGAGGCTTGCAAGGGAGCCAGAAGGAGCAATCAGAGTGACAGCACAGGGTGAGGGTCATGTCATGGTCTCACGCTCCTATGATGTCTAGTTAAAAGGAAGACTAAAAAGTGATCATTGGATTGTTGAGTGGGATTGGCAAGAGCAGCTTCTGTGCAATGAACTGGAAAAAACTTGATTAGTTTTCCCAAAAACATGAAACAAGGGGACGTTTTAAAAATACAGCAAGCGCCGAGACCGGTTTGGCTCAATGGATAGAGCGTCGGCTTGGGGACTGAAGGGACCCAGATTCGATTCCGGTCAAGGGCATGTACCTTGGTTGCGGGCATATCCCCAGTAGGGGATGTGCAGGAGGCTGCTGATCGGATGACTCTCTCTCATCGATGTTTCTAGCTTTCTATCTCTCTCCCTCTCTGTACAAAATCAATAAAATATATATTTTAAAAAAATACAGTAAGCATATTCGCTCTGATTGGCTGGTGGGCGTGGCTTGTGGATGTAGTGGAGGTATGGTCAATTTGCATATTACTCTTACCGTGTTTCCCCCAAAATAAGACATCCTCCGAAAATAAGACCTGCTTACAGGTTTCCTTCTGAGTGAAATATAAGGGATCCTCCCCGAAAATAAGGCCCTCACCAGGCTAAACATGAGAGATTTGGTCCACTGATTCTGAAAGAAATGGAGTCACAAGAAATTCACCAGGAAATTCAGGAATTGGATTGTTATGATGATGTTCCAGAAGATGATGACATGATTGTCATAGAATAAATGAGTAAATTCTTGATACTGTAGGAGTCACAGTTTGTCTGGTTTGTGTTGACAACTACCATGCTACCGTACCGTATACAGGTAATAAATTTCCTTTATCTTCATTTAACAATAAATGTGTACCGTATTCTTCATGGAAAAATAAAACATCCCCTGAAAATAAGACCTAGTGCATCTTTGGGAGCAAAAATTAATATAAGACACTGTCTTATTTTTGGGGAAACAGGGTATTAGATAGGACTAGGGGTATCTACAGTATAAGGAAATTAATTAGAAGAAATATTTTAACATTTCTATTCACCCTTTATAAGTGTCAGAGATGACATATCAGAGGTACATTGTGCTGATAGTTGGTCTTCAGATATATTCTGTCCACAATACCACTTTTTTTTTAAAAAATATATTTTATTAATTTCTTACAGAGAGGGAGAGGGATAGAGAGCTAGAAACATCGATGAGAGAGAAACATTGACCAGTTGCCTCCTGTACATCCCCTACTGGGGATATGCCCGCAACCAAGATACATGCCCTGGACTGGAATCGAACCTGGGACCTTTCAGTCCACAGGCCGATGCTCTATCCACCGAACCAAATCGGCTTCGGCAACACACCACTTTCTTTCAGCTTCAGAACATTAACAAAACCAACCAAATTCACAATCGACAATGGCAGATGGAAACACACACATGCAGTTGGCACCAGTGAGAGCTTTAAATGTATCACACAGGCATGAGTCACTGCTTATTTTTAAATTGCCAGTGCATGTTATATGTACCAGCTGGTCGATCAGGCATATGAAACCCACAACAGGGGCATGTGCCCTGACTGGGAATTAAACTGTGACCTCTTGGTTCATAGATTGATCCTCAACCACTGAGACACACTGGGAGGGCACCCACAGAATTTAAAATATTTTTATTGATTTCAGAG